TGTTTCAACCAATTTTTGTGGTTGACACAACCCAGTTGGTTGACTTATTTTCTCCCGTATTCTGAGAATCTGCTAAACTGGGATGTTCATTTCTTACTGCATCTTTCCGACCTGGTCACTTCTGAAATAAGATTGTAGTCGCACAATTGAATTCATGTCACTGAAAAGCCTTTTCCAGATTGGCGCGAAAGCTAATTTGGCAAAAGGTGGTTGTTGCTATTTAACCAGCAAATATGATGGTCACTGTCTCTCTGTAACGTTGTGAAGTAAGAGATGTGTCTTTTAGTGCTTTTAAACCTTTATCCATGACTTCATCATAATATGTCTGGTGACAGTATCCCTATTTATATTTGTGTTTTGGTGCATTTCATTCGAACAGATAATGGAAGTCACCGCAACGTTGGAAAATGTCTGGCTGCTCAGTACGAGACATGTATGGGCAATCTGACAGATTCAATAAATATCAATTGTCATTTTACCAAGCATACAAACACAACTACCATAATGACTCGCATGGAAATAATCCCAAATTAGAACTCATCAGCTCTTTTCTCTCTCGTCAAATGGCGAGTAATTTTAAATTGAGCTTTTTACGCAGTGGTTAGCTTGTCTTCATACTTGTATGACCATTAAGAAATGAGAACAATTCAAAAAGTCAACCAGCACCATGGAATGGTTCCGCTTTCATAAGAAATAGCAGTAGTTTTCAGTCTTGTCGTAGCTTATTCTTCTGCCCTGGGACGAGTTAAAAGGATAAAAGTGCCACTGTCCCAGGATTGAATCCAAACAGAAGGTTTCACTGTGTTCTCTCCCCTCTCGAGTTTCATGCCATCTATCCAATTACACCACTTGAAGAGAGAGGAGGAGACTCTTTGGTGTGTGTTTTTTTTTCTTTGGATATGCGCTTATCCTCTGGGTGTCTCTCACATGATAATTCACACACAAATGTTTTATTTATTGCTGGCAGCCGGATTAGTTGATTCAATTAGTTTTGGTTGCTTTTAGCTGACTAAGCAGAACATGCACCTCGTGATAAGAAATACAAAAAGATGCAAGGAAGGGAATAATCAGTTGGAAGAGTGAAAGAGCCGTACTTGTCCAGACTCGCTCACAATGACGTGGAGGGGAGTTGTGACGCTGTCCTTGTGCTGACACGCCTTGAGCTTCCGCACTTTAATATTTTGCTCATATGTGGATTGCTTGGAAGCCTTTGACTGTATATTGGGAAAATAAACAAGTACAATTTTTACGCTACGGAGATCGCATTGCCCCACAATTGTTGGTTTGACAAACTCTTATGGGACTTCAGCAGATTTTAGCCCTTCATGAACCTCACTCGCCTTTGTTTTACTAAGCATCAAAGGAAAGATTTTAGCTTTTGTTTGTGTGACACGCCTGCTCAAAAGAACCAGCTCAGAACATCAGAACAAGGAAAATGCACAGTACATCAGAAGCTGCATGAAGTGAACTCAAATTCAAAGCTGGAGGCGGCAACATAAGCAGCGTTAACTCATCATTATTGACATTGTCAGTGTTTAATGTGGGCAAAATTATTCTTTTTTTTAAGTGCTTCTTCAACTCTCGTAAAGTTAAGCGCTTTATTTTTTTTTTTTAACCTTTACATATCCACGTAAGGCAATTGGGAACAGATTCTTATTTATAACGTCAACCTAACCATTATCAAGCGACCCCCAGCTTGTACATTTGCATGGAAACTCTATTGTGTACGCTGGTGTATCCAAAACAATAAGCAAAGCATCCTGACTTTTCCTCCCCGCAAGAATAATGAATGAAGAATGGGATGTGTTTTAGCACAATAGTTTCATCCTGTTCAGAGAAAAATGGGAGTTGCAAATGAGAACAATAACCGAGAACGCGCTGTATGAGAGCGCTGAAGTAGCTGTTGATGATGAGTGTATTTTTTTGTTTTTGTAATTTTGTTGCTTTTATAACATTTGTAGTGAATTTGCCTTGCGAGTAGCTCTCTCCCCCACCCCTCCCTTTTATCCAACCAATGTTGAACTTTCCAAAGAACTTCCGTCAAGTCTTTATGATTGATTCATGTTAGATATCCTCTGGAGTGATGAGTGAGATAAAAGCATCACCCTAGGACTACGCTCACCAGCACAGAGATAACAAGGCAAGCTTGGACTCATCTTGAAGTGTCTTGAGGGGGGGAAAAGAGAGGGCAAGAGAGAGAGAGAGAGACACAGAGTGAGTTCACCTCCGTTTGTAATCTAATCTCATCCAGATTTGAAGCCGTTTGAAGCTCTGTCAAGAGAAATAGACTTTGATCATGCGGGCCCAATCGAATGAGAGAGGAGTTTGACTTCCACTCGAGTCTTTTTCATCATGTCACTATCTTTCTGATGTTCCTAATTAGAAGTATGAAGCATACATGTGTGCAGCAGTAAATTGTATATGGTCACATTTACACATTTGTATTTGTCTCAACTGTGCATATGTCCAACAACTATAAAGATACGTTTAGTTGTACCGTACTCCTGTTAAAAGGGATGCAAAAGCAAGTTTGAATGTGCAAGTGAAATGCCCAAACAGTGGCACAAATAGGCGTTCAACCAAATATTTCCAGGTAAATCTTCCCTGAAAAATCTTGTAGTGTTATATTATACGCCATAGTGTGTTGATAGCCACCAGGGCTGAAACATTTGTTGAATAACTCCAATAATTCGATTACAAAATAAATAAATAAATAAAAAGACGATACTGAATTTCAGCGTTGAACCTTCCCAGTGGTCATTTTTCCACACCCGACTAATGAGGAAAGAGTGCGTCAATGGAAAGTGCGAAGTTTGGGATAGTTTCATCTGACTACTGCTAAGCAGAACTACCGAATGTATCACAAAAGCAAATACAATTACTAATGCAAGGTATCAATGTTAGCTAATTTAACAGAGCCTACCTCCGCTAGTTAGAACGTATAAATAGTGGTGCGCCCAAGTAGGCAAGTATATACACAGCAGCTGGCGAGCTTTCAGTCGCTTTATTGAACAATTCGGAACAAAATAATGTCGGAGTAAGCACATTTATTACTTAGCTGCTACCTCCCATGTTTGGCCACTGGCGCTTACACACTCAACAGCCAACATGCAGACAAGCTAACAGTTAGCCGTATCAGCCAGCTACTAACTCGAGCTGACAACAGCCAACTCGACACTCTAATTTGCTGATTGCTACGTAACCCCCAAGTAATAAGAGTGAAGTGATTTTGGTAGACTAATTGAATAGCAGAAATAGTGGAGGGCTGCAGCCCTAACCGTAGAACTGGAACCGGAAGTTACTGCGACATAGTAACTTGTATGGCTGCTCAAAATAATATGGGCATCACTTGCAAGGAGAAATAGCAAAGTGTTGCCAAACAGATGCTATTATAAATAGCATGTAGCTAAAACCACAATGGCTAATGACTAGCATGAGAATAACCAGAGAAGGTTGCCAAGAAACGCTTTTCATACGCTGAAAGCTCGGCCAAAGCGGGAACTATTTTCCTGCCAACTTGAATGTAACTGAAAACATTGACTGGAAAATTATTGAAGACTTGATAATGGTTTCAATAAATGTATTCACTTTTTTTCCCCGATGGAATAACTGTTTGGAAATTAGAACAACATGGAAGCCAACCAACATCACTGAACGGATTGTGTTCTACTTTTGATGTTCCACTCTATAATCTCTGGCTTTAATTAATTTGGGTCGGAAACACGAGCCTATCCAAACATTCTGCCCCTCCTGAACCTATGATGCTACCCCCCCGCCCCCCTTCCCTCCAATTATCCTGCATCCTGATTGGACAGTGTGCTGTCACAAGCCTCTTCTCCTTTTTATTGGCATCTATCTGCCTGGCCAAATATAATGATGTCATCCCTGTTGCCATGGCGCACATTAGGGCGAGCAGGAGCATGCCACAGGGAGTGGGGCAGGAGGTGACGGTGTTTGGGAGGCCATGCTAAGGCTGCAACAATTGTGCCCACTCTCCAGTTCATCTGGCATACTTTGAATGGCACTTGAGTCATTCAATATGATTTGAATAGTTAAAATTGATGAATACTGTTCACTTTAAAAGCACATGCGTAGTATTTCGTTTCAAATGATTCAGATGAATGAATTAAAAACAGCCATTTTGAGATTTTGTTAGCCGAGTCGAAAAATTGCTTATGTCGTTTTTTTTTAAACACAATTCTAACAAGGAGAGTCCAGTTGCTTCGATTCATTTATTATGCATTTCTGACATAGAAATATGTAAAACACTGGCATTTCCCCAACTTTTCTATGTCCTGTATAAGTGCACCAGCATGGAGTGGATGTCCAAAGTCCACCTCACAGTTTTCCACCATCAATGCAGATGATGTCACCCATCTAAGCATCTGACTGCTGGATGCTGTGTGAAAGCTTTGCCGGGCTCTGTGTAGAAGGCAATGGTTGCAGCTCTCATCACTTCTGCAGGATCTCCGCATGAATGGGGGCTGCAGTTGGATATTGTAACGTGTCGCCAGTTTGGCGTTAGCAACAAACTTTTTGTTTGTCTCCGTTTTGGGAGTAGTTATGGAGAGTTTTGCGTTGGAACTGGCTTTTTCTTTGACTCGTGTGTTTTGTTTGGGAAAGTTCAGGCAGATACATGAATCCAAAGCAGTGGAAAGTCCCCGAGCTGAGACGGAGCCAGTGGTACTTTTCCCTCGTTCTCCTCTTTCTTTGCTCCCACTCACCGGTTACTCTGTAGGCCTTGTGGACTCGCACAAGACCGTGGGGGGTGGACTCAATCAATCAGAGAAACGCACACAAACAGTCACACGCAGAACCTGTCCACAGGTTTTCAAAACCATTGCTAATTCTAGAGGGGCAAACCAAGTCAACACAACTGTTGCCTAAACACACAGTGTACTGTAAATGGTAACACACAGTGTACTGTAAATGGTACAAAATAGTTTGGGACTCTGAACTTTCCTTAAAACCTCTGTTTGTCGGCATCCTCCTTTTCTTAGGAGAAGCAGCCTTGCGAGGAGACCCCCGACTGCAGGCCCTGTCCCTGTCCTCGTCGTCTTCCTCCTCCTCCTCATCTTCCTCTTCGTCATCCATCTCCAGCCACAGGACGGGCCCGCCACCCATCAGCCCCACCAAGAGGAAGCTGAGCGGGGAGCAGGGGGACAGCGACATGGACGACAACGAGCACGTGGCTAAGATGAGTCGCCTCTTCGCCGCGCAGTTGTGAGTACTAGTGTCAAGATTTAATACCGCGCATGTACAGTGCCACATTGGGTATTATTAAAATTTGCCGTTGAGCATCGTTGTCAATTAATTTGAGTTGATTGCTCGGATTCTTTTTTGGGGGGCGGTGGGAGGGGCAATAGCAGCAATGTTGCCATTTTAACAATTTATCCAATGCTGACAATAGGAATGGAATCATTTTTCATATGAAGCCTGGTAGAAGGCAATCATGGAGTCACTCGTGCTTTACATTTTCAGACGTGGTGCCCAATAGTATGTTGCCATTATAGATGGACATTTTGGAAAGTTTTGACACCTGGTATGTGCTTCCAAGCTACTAATATTTTTGCCGAGGTTGCCATGCCTCCCCTGTACAGCACAAGTCATGAGAAACGATGTTACTCTTTGACAGCAGACACACCAGCTGACCGTGCAGTTAGACGGCTCATTGTAATTTGTGGAATATTTGAATATCGTTATGAAAAGGGACTTTTTTTTTTCCTCAAAGGAGGCACTTACTTTCACCTTGTCTGGAAAAACAACTCTCTGGGTAAAATCGGTTTAAATAATTGTTTGGTATCGGGAGAAATAAAAAAAAATTCCAGAAGCGGAAATAAAGCTAAACTTAGTTTGAATGTCATAGTCATTTTCTTTTTCTTTCAGTAAAGAAAGAGAAACAAACATAAACGTAAAATGGAACCTAGCACCTGACAGGTCAACTTTACACATGTATTTTGTAAGGCTGGTCTATATGCTCTTAAATTAATTTAAGACACCCCCCTCCCCCCGGCATGTCAAATATATTATATCCTTTCTGCTTAAAGAGTGCTACACTATGTAAACTTGGTTTTGCTTAGAACGATTAAATCCTTGAAACTTATGACCACTTACATGGCCCACTTCCCGTCTTGTGGGGATTCCAGAGATTCTGCAGGCGAGGGGGGCAGCGATCCCGAGCTTGCTGCCTCTTAGCAAACACATTTTATGGACGGATTTGCACATCATTGCTTATGGCCGTAGATGATGCTTATGCAAGGAAAACCCATCAAATTAAAAAAAAACGCAGAAAGCCGCTTCCAGTCATCCGTAGTACTTTCGAGAGATTTGTTTCACACAATACATGAATAATTGCATGCAGATTGTGTTTCACATCAGGTTGAGCCACTGTGCTATTCTTAGGGGGGGCATGGGAAAAAGGTCTTTTCTTCTCCAGTCTTGTGACTGCGCTCACAGAACAAAGGATTAGCTTGTGCAACTTGACATTTGTGCACAGTCATCGTGTTTTCCCGCTCATCGTTGTCAGGAATTCACATTCTAATTTTCACAGACATGACTAGACAGTCACGTCTTCCTCACATTGTTGTTTTATAGCATGTCTGGGTTTTTTTGTGGTTTTTTTTAAACTGTAGAGAGTGTACAATTGACTTAACAAATACAACAAGGCCTGTTGTTGTATCAGCTTTCAAGTCGGTGTCCCTAATGGTTTTTAAGGCCCACGAAGTGGACCATCAAACAAAAAAAAAACCCCAAAACAAATAGTTGGTGACGCCTTGCTGCTTAGAAAGCGATTGAGCACCATACATCCATGACGCACTGCAGCAGAAAAACTGCTTCGCTGAATTGGCTTTTTAGGCCCCACTTCCATTCTACTGTATTATTATTATTATTATTATTATTATTATTATAGTACCTTTATTGAACCACAAAAACAATGTGTGATTGTCAAGAAAGTAAGCGTATAGCCACAAACAGGTGGAAATTCGTAACAATAAGAAATGAGAGGTTGTTAAAATTATCAATCACCCCATTAACGCACTGTAACCAGGCATTTCGGTGACAGGTTCTCAATGCTTTGCTTTCTAGTAACAGGTACATCTGAAATGATAAATATGGTTGAGTATCATTGCATGCATCACTTTGGGGGCTGGTCCGTTTCTTCCATTCTGTGTTTTCCTACAAGATACCTGAAAGCCTCTTTTACACAGAGATCCTGCAAAATAGCCACGGTAGAGCTGTTACAGGGCCTTTTAATTAACATGGAACTGATTGATGTATGCTTTCACACAGCCACACGGCATCCTGCAATGGGATGATTAGATGCGTCTACAATAAATGTTGGACAGTGACTATTTCTTTCAACACCAGAGGGCGGGAGAAGTGAACATCCGGTGTTCTGGATGTCACCCTGCCTCTGATACTACCCCTGAATTGGGAACCTTACTGGCCCCACCAAAACAAAGGTGGAAAATTCAGTTTTTTGACAGCAGTGTGACAGAGGTCATCACTTATCTTTTTTTTTATTTTTTTTTATTCCTGATGTACATCAAAGAACATTTTTTTTGATTGACGCAAATTGCCCTCTCGAACACAGAGATTGCACAACAAAGTGTTGTTCTGTCTATTCAAAGTGCATGCCAACAGACTACTTTTAAAAGTGGTCTACTACTATAAGTACTGTTCCCACAGTTTTCTAATGCACAGAGAGCATTCGTTGCGCCATCGGTGCAGGCAGACACCTGACACCTCCACCAAGGGGCTGCCCCACAGAAGGTCGCCTCTCCTTTTGTTGTCCACTCCAAAACAAGCTCGTCAGTGTCTTTGGTGAGAGAACAAAGCAAAAGTGTCCGACCCAACTCCAGCTGCTTGTACACACACGCTACTCACGAGACATAAAGGCTGCATTGTTGTGTGTTTTCACAGTTATACCACACAATGTATTTTCTTTTTTTAAATCAAACCTGGAAATCTACATTGATTTCTTCACCGTGCCAATTCTTTGGATTTGCTGCAGGCGGGCAGATTCGAAGCACATCTTTTCCAGTTTGTACTTTTTTTTTTTTTTTTTTTCCTTTCTTTCTGAAATACTGATTTCCAAGCATCCACATGTAGTGGCTGTGCATGTAGGAGGAGGTAGGCGGAGTCTGGAACAAAGAGGCCTTATCCCATTCACTGGAGCCTGCGGGCTGGAAGCTTGCTGCTGCCTGCCCTCCTGGCCACCACTGAGCAGTTGTAAACGCTCCGGTGTAAAAGTCCTCATTGCTATTGCTTCTTGTTTGCTTTCAAACAAGATCAGAACCCCATGGGGTTTGAATTGGGGACTAGCAGGAAAAAAAAGTTGCTTCGTCATACTGTATGTTGTAGGAAGTGCTTCAAGTTGTTGGCCATGCTGTGACTGCGGCTTCACAGGCTTGAAATCGGCCTTTGTAGTCCAGTTCACTTGGAACTTCTTCACTTGTCCTCTTAAGAGGTTTCTCCAGGGGCCAAATGGGAGGAAGATGAAAATGAAAGAGAGGAAGCAACTGTGTGTCAGAACTTATGATCAAAGTTGGTCAAAAGCATGTGGGTTCCTTTTTTTTTTTGTATTCAGTGTGCTTTCATATAACCACATGTTGTTTTCGTTGCATCCTTTTCGGGGTTCCCATATCCGATCTTTTGGCGCTTTGCAAAGGACTTTTTTCTGTGCTTTTCTCCCACCTCAAAGCCGGAGTCATCTAGCTGGCAAATGTGTGTTGGATTCCCATCGGTACAGGTGCCCGAGTGAAAATGCGCGCAGAAGTTATACAGCTGCAGCTCGAGCGGTGTCAGGAATGGCTGGACTAATTAAGCATTCTACTTTTGCTCACCTGTTATTCGACATACAAAGTTGTTGTTGCCAGAGTGGAAAGAAACAAAAATAATACTGTCAAGTCAGATTTCTCTCCCAGTATTCACCTTTTTTTTCGCATCCGCTTCAAGCCTTGAAAGTAAACTGTATTTGTGTGTAAAAACATGCTCTGCATAAGCAGTGTGGCTCACTTTCTATATATATTTGTATATTTCCATTCTGTGGCTTCGCGCAGAGCTCGGGCCTGGTTGTAACCTGTGGTTGCGCCTTCATCCGCCCCCTCTTTCAGCTTTTTTCTTTTTTGTCTTTTCTCTACACGCTGATTCTTCCCAGATGTTTCCTGTGTGTGTCATTCCCTCTCTTGCCGTCTCTGTGGATTGCTCTGAGCATATCAACATCTGCCCAGTTTTAAGATTTATAGGGAGGGTTTTCCTGGAGAACTGTTTGTTTTCCCTCCCCCCCCCTGCAAGTTGAGTTTGAAACTGAAACAAGCGAACCAAAATACAGAAAAAAGCTTCTTTTTTTTCATTCTATTATATGGCTTAAAGTAGAGCAACACTTGCCTTGAACTGAAACAGGGAAACCGAAAGGACTGAAATGTTTCTGTCTCTTTGCCCTGGCGTTGGACAAAGAGCGTCAGGCCTGTAATCTCTGGTCTTGATCGTCCCAACGGCGCTTGACGGCATCGGGAGCAAGTTTTTCCACACCAAATTCATCCAAGCATGCCTTGTATGGACCTTGCTTTGCGCACAGCCAAGCATACAATTGTACCCAAAAGTCTTGGTAAGATGAAGGATTAAGATTCAAGGAGAACAAAGGCCAGTGTATGATTGAATACGTTTTAGTGTTGGTCTTTGCCAAGACTCATGCTTTGCACTTCCTGGTTTTTTGGATCCCAAATTCAGAATCTGCGAGAATGTGCATCCACTGGCATATTTTTTATTTTTATTTTTTGCAAACTCATCACAAATAAAACCCTGTCCTCAAGCTCCAAATATCAGTTTACATTAAAGATGGAATAGTAATCCAATTATTCATTCATTCATTCATTTTCCGTTCCGCTTATCCTCACAAGAGTCACGGGGGTGCTGGAGCCAATCCCAGCTGTCTTCGGGCAGGTGGCTGGGGACACCCTGAACCAGTTGCCAGCCAATCGCAGGGCACACACAGACGAACAACCATCCACGCTCACACTCACGCCTAGGAACAATTTGGAGTGTTCAATCAGCCTGCCATGCATGTTTTTGGAATGTGGGAGATAAACCGGAGTACCCGGAGAAAAGCCATGCAGGCACGGGGAGAACATGCAAACTCCACACAGGGAGGCCGGAGCTGGAATTGAACCCGGTACCTCTGCACTGTGAGGTCGACGTGCTAACCACTGGACCCACCGGGCCGCCTAATCCAGTTATTGATCGTTAAAAACTCACTCGGTTCAGAAACCAATTGAGGTGCTCTGAGGTGGTCCGTGCTGAGCTTCCGCCATGCAGACCAGGTAGCATTAAGGTGCTCCATACAGCACTGGCAAGAAAACAAGAATTTAGAACATGCAAGAGATTCTTCCTTCCCGTGAAAGAATTAGCAACAAAAATAAACACTCAAATGCCATTTTGTAGCCGCTCAGCCAGACTATTAAAAACTTTGGGAAGCCGAAAGCGAATGAAGGACTTTCAGCTTCAATATCTTGATTGTCTTGGCCTTGCTTCATTCACAAACGACATTGCTTGAAAGGCTGCACTTAATGACAGATGGGCCAGTGCTGGAAGCGCAGTAGTCATATGGAAGCGTCTCGTCCATGTGTTGCTGGTGGAGGCTTGGCCTCTGGATTTAGAATGAAGGGATCCTCCTGTGAGCGCATGCCATAGCCGCCACCACTAATGCTCGGCTCCACATCAGCCAGAGCCTTGTAAAATAGATTCAAAACGACGTCTGCTCATCATGTGATGCGCTCCGTGGCCAGTCACATGGTTCTCATTTTCACAACAAGTCGACCCAAATTAAAATCTATAATGTGTGCGATTGAAAACCCGCACATGCTCAATGAAAATATGTAAACAAACGAAGTACTTCCGTCAAGCAAAGTTTGATTGTGGAGTCTGCCCAGCTGGCGCGGGTGACAAGCAGGTGGCTTTTTGGTTGCTCGATGGCACAAAATCAAGTCCAGTGTGTGTGTCGGGCCAACGCTTAGGCTCGGTGGAGGATTTAACTACTCCGCTATTGATTGGTTCTGTTCTTTGGCTCCCGCAACCGGGCCCCTCTGGCTTGGCGGTGTGACCACGCCTGCGTTTTGGCAGTGGTTGAAGTTGGTAAGAACCCAAACACTCAGGTGGCGATGGGATGGGATGGGCTTGCCTCCTCAGTTTACTGACCACCGCACTAAACTCCCCCCAAAAATAATGATAATCAGAAGCATCTGGTTCAGCATAGGTCACTGTTGCTTGCTGACCGCATGGCACCTTCTCGAAGGGCTGCAAAGAAAACCAAATGAGCAGAATTATTTGGAGTATTTTCGGATAGACGGACGGCTGCAACACTTCCCTCGGTCTACTCTTGAAATGAAATTTGTCTTCTGACCGTGACCAAGTAAATACAGGAGCCCCCCCCCCCCACCTCGTTCTCCTCCATTGTTGTGGTTTGTTGGCATTTTTGGGTGTTCTTCCGCAGTTGAGGTGGAAAGGCAGCGTGCGCGTCCTGTCGCTCGCAGCAACTGGGTATGCTTCGCATCTATATGGTTCACCCCTTTAACAAGTCTTAAGGTTCGCAGTTAAATGTTCCCCATTGCATTTAAAGGTGAATGATAGCCTTCACATGCAACATGCGTTCTCTAGTTTGCTACGACAAGACAAGTTTATTTTTTTTGTACCATGGACTTCAGAGCCCGAAAATGGCAACCCGATGTCGTGCTTTTGCAAGTGTGTGGGTTGCCGCTTTACAGGAGCGCTGCCAAATCACTCAGGAAGTTTGCAGCAGACGGTGAAAGAACAAGGAAGACAAAGCAAACGTGGGTGGGGAGGGGCCAAACGAAGGAAACAAGTCTTTCTTGTAGGAGAGGCCTGGACCATTCACCCAGAAGTCCCCCCCACTTCCAACCTCCCCCACGTCGCCTTAGCCCTTCCTCTGTCCCCCGTCTGTATTGAGGGGTGGTCCATTTATTTGTGGTTTAGATGCTGTTGTGGAGTCCAGATGCTTGAACCAGCAATTGGTTGCTTGGTCACATGCCCCTACAAGTATTGGCATTCGCACCCAAAGGGTTTTTTGTTTTATTTTGTGTTCTTATGTTTTCATCGTTGTGCTTATTGACCCGCGATGTTCTTATTCACCGTTGACATAATGTCAGTGGAAATGCCTCAGTGGCGCAGTGTCTGCTTCCAAATGAAGAGGCTTTTTTTTTTTTCCTCCATGTTCAAATTTGTCAATATGTGTTAAGATCGAGCTCCATTTTGATGCGTTTTTCCTCAGCTGTATTCATGCGTGTGTGACGGGAGTGAAAAAGACATGGGGGGGTGGGGAGGACACCAACTCCTGATCCCTTTACTGGGCCTCAAATTGTAGGAGGGAAGTGGAGCTGCAGGAAGGGTGTAATACACAACTGAACACACACGCACACATGGACTGAAGCCGACTGCGTTTGACTCACTCAACAACATAATTGCTACCTGTTAAAGTGCAAGCAAGTGCGCACATAACCACTCGACTGCACATCAAACTGGGCGTACATTTGCAACACCCTCTGCGCTTTGGGAAAGTGTTGCGTACAGACAATGGCAAAAACCGTCCCAGTTCCGACGGAACTGCTTCAACCACAGTAAACAAGAGCATCTGTTACACAGAGATCCAGCAAGCCAGTGAATGCAGCAGTAGAATTGAGTCCCGCCATCCTGGTCTTCACCTCTTACACACACGCCGTCTAGTACGACAAACATTTTGAAAATAAATGACATTTTAGAATGTAGTCCCCCCCCCCCCTCAAAATTGCGGTTGAGATGTTTTGTTGTTTTTTTCCCACCAACTAAATCAAATGACTTGCAGTCTTAAGTGTTCACTACGACAACATGACAAAATACTACCAAACAATTGTGTCGTAGAAAATTAATTGGTAAGTCAGATTGCAACAATAATGCGAACAAATTTGTGGTTTTGTTACTTCCATCTTGCATGTTTTGTCAGTGAAACATGTGGACTGTTCTTTTTAAGTGCTGAACTTCTAGAGACACAATTAACATAAATTAATCAAATATCAAGTATCAAGTACAACTTTATTGTATACAGCACATACAGCACGGATGAAATTTCCTCCCTCTTAAACAGACAACAAGAGGAGCCGCTGCGGGTGCCCGCGTTGAATGTTAATTTTGGGGGGTTGAAAAACAAATGAACAATTTGGCGGGCGAAGTTACCCATCACTGGTCTTTGTTTCCCCTCTATTCCCCCCGCACCCCAGGAAGCCTCACGGAGACTATCGCAGCTCCTCCAAGGACCAGAGCCGGAGTCCCATGGAGCGTGTGGTGGTGCCCGGCGCTCTTGGCGTCCACGGCAACCACCTGTACGGCCACGCCCACCTCCCGCACCATCACCACCTGGCTAGTTTAGCCGCCATGGACCAGCCGCTGGCGCTCACCAAGAGCAGCAGCATGGCGGAACGAAGCAGTGTGGCAACGCTGGTCGCCGTGCCGCACGCGGTGGGCGTCGCCGAACGACAGCAGGTGATGGTCGATGCTCGGGGCTTGTTGAAGTGTGGTTCTTCTGTATCTGTCTTTGAGGGGCGGGGAGGAAAAATTTCATGTGTATCCATCTCTTTTTCAGAATCGTCCATCAGTGATCACATGCGCCCCTGCTAACAACCGCAACTGCAACCTGTCACACTGCCCGCTTTCCCACAATGGCTGCTCAAGCCTCACTAATAACTACAGGAGAGTCCACAGTGAGTACACACACACACACACACACACACCCCGAATGATTTGTTGTGATTTCGGGTGACGTTTTGCGTACCTCCATTCATGATGGCTGCAAGGTTTTGGAATGGTTTCTTGAAAAAGATTAACTGCAACAAATAGTTGAACTGAGCTTTGGTGACATAGGATGACGTCGTGTATGACAGAGATTCACAGTCTGTTTTTTGGCTGCTCTTGAGAAATTGCAGAATTTTTTGGGGGGGCGGGGAAATGAGTCACAAAATTGACTAAGGAAAAACGAATGAATGAGTTTGCTGCGAAGGTTTTGTCCACAGTTTTCAGAGATTTCTCCTAAAAATTGCAATTTGATTCCAGATGTATTTACAGTAGCATTGCACAACTTCGGAGATTTCCAGACTTCTTTTGGAAGACGTCGCACAAAAAAAAAAAAAAAAATCAAGAAAAAGCCAACTGAGTTTGCCGCTAGCTGTACTACACTCTCACCAACAACTCACCACAGTTTCATTTCTTTGTTCAAGTAGAGTATTATCAAAGAAAAAAATCGCACTGTTTTATAAAATATGAAAAAACCAAAAATAACAAAAGAGAATGTTGAGCAATAAAGTTATGACGTGTAATCAAGCCACGCCCAAAGTCTCATCCGCATACGCAGTGTAGCATATTCACGCGTTGGCCATTTGGTGCCTTGTTGCTTTCGAGTTGTCTTTCCCCTGCATGGCTCTGGCGGTGGTGACTAAGGAGAGCTTACCTAACCAGTGAGAGCTCAGCAGACGCTGCACACACACACAAACACACACACACACACACACACACACACACACACACACCACTTCTTAATAGCACAATATACAAACAGAAAAAAAAAATCAAAAATACTTAACCAGTGGAATAGCACCAATGCTTTTGACTTTGAAAGGCTTACATGTAGTTTTGGTGTGCACCTTCCTCGCAGCCAACACGGCGTGCGACCCCGTCATCGAGGAGCACTTTCGCCGCAGTCTGGGCAAAAACTACAAGGAGCCCGAAGCCACAGCGACAGCCACCAACTCTGTGTCCATCACCGGCTCGGTGGACGACCACTTTGCCAAGGCGCTGGGCGAGACCTGGCTGCAGATCAAGAACAAGAGCACCCCGTCGTCGTCCGCCAGCAGTCCCAACTCGTCGCCCGACAGCCGCATGATCAACCACAACCACTCCCCTTCTCTGGTCTCTTGAAGCGGGCGAGAGAGGATTTCCAAGAGGGACTGGTCCCCAACACCGGCGCTCCTTGAGGGAGCGCCCAGCCTGCTGGTCTGCTTAACACAAATTACCCCGCTTGAGGATCATTGGAGCAATAAGGAACTGATGAGGAACTTGAACGCGGCGCCCTTGCGAGCCTTCTGTAGTTATTTGTACATAAAGAAGCAGTTTTTCTTGTAGTTGTTTTTTTTTGTTGTTGTTTTGTTGGTTTAACTGTATTTGGTTATTCTGCATCGGAAAGACACAAACACGACCGCGCTCCCAAAGAAACCCCGAGCCCCTTTCACACTGCGCGTCAAAGCCTCGCCGGCCGCTCTGAAAGATCCCAGATGACACGTTTGATGGGGATGCTGGATAGCGGGGATACGGCTGTGACCTTTGACACACGCCCTTTGGATAGGACTTTGCGCCAGGATTAGGTTTTTCAAGCCTAGTTTAGGGTTTCAAATTTGGCTTTCAAAATTCCGATTGGCCGTTAATTAAATTAATTTATGAATGAATAAACAACATGGTAACTTCTCTTTTGGTACCATACCGCTTACAACAATAAAGATATGAATTGCTGGCAGAATATATGACTCTTATACAATATTTAAGTATTGTTTCAGTATTTGTTTAACTTGGGTTGTGGTTAGGGTTCAGGGTTCAAGTTGGGGTAATAGTTTCAAGCCTGAGTTGAGGATTTTTCAATTGGGGTTATACTTTCAAGTTCTTTTTGGATTCAAGATTGCGGTTTTAAATCTGGTGTTTGGTTAGTTTCATCATGGCACTGTTAAAGTTCCAAGTTGGGATTTCAATGCACAGATAAGGTTTGACATTTGAGCAAGAGATTACAATTTAGGTTTGGCTTTCAAATTATTCTTTGTTTTAGGGTTTCAAGCAAAGCCTGGTTTCATGTCAGGGTTAGTGTTCCAAACCGAAGTTTCAACTTTGGTTTTCAAGCCTATTCTAAGTGTGAGTGCAAAGCATGCCAGCGCAAAAAGCAGTGTGAAAGTGTCCGGCGTTTCTCCCGGCTCAAACGAGCGACAGACGATGACGCGCTAACGCTAACCGTGAAGAACGAAAAGCTGATGTCAGATGTGACGGCGCCTTAAAAAAAAAGCCGCCCGATGCTCTTCACTTTGGCTCGGTAAGGTTTGAAGGGCAAACAAATGCTTTTAACCCCTGCATGTGTTTTTATTTTGAATAGCTGGTATCTATTAGTAAGCATTTCAACTACTTTTAATTAGCCTTTTTAATTTTTTATTTTTTTTTCCCTGGACGTTATCTTGTAACACACGTTAGACAATATACACTCACTGCTGGATCAGTTGTACTCCATGTTGTTATATCGTTGATGTTACTATACTGTGTGTTTTTAGTTTTTTTTTTCTTTGTGTGCTAGCAAACATCTCGAGCTAGCCGACAGGCTTTGCTAATCATTTTGCAAACAAAACTGAAAAATGCGAGCGTTGATGTTGAGCCATCAGTGGGAGCTACTGCATGCATCCTTGTAACGCGCCATACTCGGACGTCCCGCTGGCATCTGTAAAGTGCTTGCCAAGCAGCACGGTTCGTACGGTACGGTACTCAGTCTTGAGTAATGGCTCGAAACTACTTTTCGGATGATCTCATTGGAGCCCCGCCCACCCTCTTAAAAAAAATGAAGTGTGTATTTTCAAATTGTGGGTTTCATATTTTGAGGGTTTCAAAGCAGTGGTTAGTGTTTCAAATTAGGGGTGTGGGTTTGACCTAAGGTTAAGATTTCAAATTAGGGTTTTGAGTCAAGGTTGCAATTTGAAATTAGATGGGCACGCTTATGTTAGGGTTGCGGGCCTTGGGTAGGGTGTTAAATTGGGGTTTCAAATTAAGGTTTGGTTTTAAATTAGGATTTCAAGTCAGTCAGGGTTAGGGTATCAAGCAATAATTCGAATTTCAAACAGTCTTTCAAATTAGGATTGGAAGCCTTAGCCAAGGTTGCTTTCGGGTTTCAAGCAATGGTTACGGTTTTGTGTCAGGGTTACTTTCATATAGCTTTGGGTTTGAAGTCGGGCTTATACTTTCAAATAAAGGCTAGGTTTTTAAGAGTTTGGAATTCAAATTAGCATTTTAAGCAACAATTGAGGTTTCAAATGAGGATTTCAGGCTACAGTCTGGCTTTCAAATTAGGGCTTCAAGCAACAATTAGTTTCAAGACAGGTTTAGGGTTTCATGTCAGGGTTAGGGTTTTTACCCCCCCCCCCCCCCCCCCCTGAATTTTTAAGCAGTGGTTATGGTTTTTAGTTTGGGTTTCAAACTCAATCGGTGTTTCTAGCTCCGATTGGAGTTTGAATGTAATGTTTGAAGTTGTTTCAAACAAGGGGGTGAGATTTAAATGACACATTATCCAAGCAGTCCAACATGAGATCCACGTTTGATTTTGTGTACAGTACCACAAAGGGGCGGAGTTACAAAGCAATCCATTGATTGGTTGATGGAGAATCGTGCACGAGTGGGGAATGGAACAGGAAGAACACAAAATGGCTTCTCCCTCCCATTTCTCTTGTCATTTCTCTTTTTGTTCAACATTCGAGAAAGGCTTCCGTACCGTGCTGAACTTGACCGCTTCGTGGAAGCGCTCCCAACATGAAGCGTCTGCCACACATTCCATTCTTAGTGCGTGACGCAAAGAGGACTACAACTAAAATGGCGGCCGATGTTCGCAGGAGCTGAGCTTCTGTTCGCGCTGAAACGTAATATTAACGGCTTGCGCAATTTATCATTTCACGACCACGCTCTAGTTTGAAGGCTGCCTGTCTGCTACAACACACACACTGTAGGAAAGATGACTTTTTTTTTTAAATAGTAAGACCATCACTACGCTGTGCGTAACGGATGTACAGAGAAAACAAATCATAGGTATTTTTCAAGGAACAATTTGTTAATGATATGTAGCTATTTAATTTTTTTTCTTCCTGTCATATAATCCTTTTTTTTGTTCATGTTGAAAAAGTTGATCTTTTTTTGTTGTCTTGAAAAAGGTTCAAGTGCAGGAACACACAAAAAAAAGAAAAGCCACTGGACATTGTCGGTGACAATCGCTACATCCAGCAAATATTTAATAAAGTAAAACAAATGCTTGGCCCCAAAAAGTCCGGTGACTTTGCCACTAGGGTCAGCGCTGCTGCTGGCTGTTTCTTCATCCACGTCTCCCCCCACCAAATCATTTGTCAAACAAATGCGTTTTTAATCAACGTGGGCGATGTGGTGACCAATCAAATATTTTGGGGTTTGCCACCCCCTCTGCCCTTTTTTTTTTTTTTTTTTTTTTTACAAGTAGCAAGTACTTAGTGCTAGGATCACTCTCAAATGTAAAGCAAAAAACAGTTTGTGGCTCTGTCTCCTACTGAAAAGGTTTTGGCAGGCCACCTTTTTTTTTGTACGTAAAGTAGCCTCGATGAACAATAAAGTGCTTTTAAATCACCGCCTGATGGACTGTGTGCTACTTTGTGAATGATGGTCCCTTTGAGCAAAGAAACGTCAAGACAGAAGTTCAAGTTTTGCTCCAATATTTAGTTCCATACACACCGATTAAACTGTTAGCACAATTAAATGACATCCAATGCAAGAGGTTTTACAAATGGGGAATAAGTACAGAAATTGCAACATTTATTTTATCGCACATAAAAATAATACCGTGATTGAGTAACAAACACCATTTGGTCGCTGATGACTGCACATAATTTGTCACCGACGTATTTTGCAAAAAAAAAAAAGTGAACATTCCATGTGTAAATACCACAGTTTCACTCTCAAAACACCAGAAATGATACATTCAAGGTGAAACTATTTTTTGTGGGGGAAGGGGCGTGGAGTTTGCAGAAACTTGTCGTAAGATGAGTGTTTTGGTCTTCCCGCCTCACAGGTCTTCCTAGGTGAGTGATTTGTGGCTCAATCCTCATGATTTTTGGTTCCTTAAATGCTCTCGTCATCGCTCATATCCCAAATCTGTTGAAAAAAACATGACGCATATTAGGAATCAAAATTTGGGACAACGTCGGAAGGAATTTAACACCATATTTAATAAATTAAAAAAACAAAAACAAAACCTGCTCAAAAGTAATTAAAACTAATTAACTGTGAAACAACAATCTCTCTCTCTCTCTCTATACACACACACACACACACACACACACACACACACACACACACACACACACACACACACATTTTTGAAATCCCAAATATAACCCCGCAAGTAGTATGACCTTTGGATAAAATGAAGTGTGGGGAAAATTCCGTAGATTTTTTTGGGGCCGCCAGAGCACCAACTAGACGAGAGACATGCAACCATCTGACTTGGCCGCAGCTACATCAGCCATTTTGTGAAATGTGCTTGAAAATAAAAATAAAAAAAATAGCTGCATTCAAACTTCAATTTGGTGTGTGATTCCCTCCTTTCATAAATTGAGAAGTTGTGTTTTTTTTTTTTTTCAGGCAGTGTTTAGGACAGCCCAGTTCTTTCTTTTCTTTTTTTTAATGGCTGGTCGACCAGCATGACATGAGCTACAATACCTCGGCTATCTTGAGTCTGACCCAAGTTGTCCGAGGTAGCTGTGAAGAAATTTGGTTGACTTTTTTTGTTTTTTTGGCTGCTAGTGTGCACACGAGAAACAGTGCGAGGGCCTGTGACAAATACCGCAGCCATCTTAGGCCGGACGAAGATTTGATTTTTTTTTTTTTTTTTTCGCAGCCAACGCGCCGATGACAATGTTACTTTTCACTTCAGCAATCCGGAAAGTATTTATCGTGCTTCACTTTTGACATAATTTGCTCTTTTCCGGCCTCAGTCTCAAACGAAATAATTGTTTAACCCCCTCCACAAACAATACAACACATCCTGATTTATATCGCGCTTCCAACAACAGCTGCAGAAGCAAACAAAGAAAAAAAACCCCACAACACCCTGATAACACTTATGACTTTTTTGGGCTAATTTTTGGGGGTCTGCTAGCGCAGGGGTCCCCAACCTTTTTTGCCCCACGGACCGGTTTAAGTCAGACAATATTTTCAGGGACCGGCATTTAAGGTGTGGCGGATTAATACAACAAAATAATATGGTATGAGCTGTATGAAAACTCTGGTGTTTTCGAAATATAATAATAAACACAAGGAGCGTCTAATCTGGTCGCAACACTCTTATCGCTCTGGTAATGTTTAATGCCTTCAAAATACGATACAACGCAAATTCAAAGTGCATGAAAATGACGACTC